CAGCTTAGTTCTTTTTGCTAAAGATTATTTTGGTTATTTAGTGAACGTGGGATATATTTTCACTTTTTTGTGCCTTCTTTAATTTCTCTCATCAATATTTTATAGTTTTCAGACTACATTCTTTCACCTCCTTGGTTAAATTTATTCATGAATTTTTTTTTTTTGGTTATTGTTGTCATTGTTGTATGGTGGGCCAGGGCTACATTTGAACCCACCAGCTCTGGTATATGTGTATATAAAATTTTTTTTTTTTGGTTATAGTTGTCATTGTTGTATGGTGGGCCAGGGCTACATTTGAACCCACCAGCTCTGGTATATGTGGCTGGCGCCCTAGCCACTTGAGCCACAGGCGCTGAGCCAAAATAGCAAAATTTTTAAAAATTGGTAATAAATATGGTTGACAAGAATGTGGGGAAAAAAACCACCATCATATACTATTGGTGTTGGACCCTTTTGGCATACATAATCGTAACTATTTTCTTCATTTATTTATGGTGGAGTTAAATTGTATAACTCTACCCTCTAGGTATCCATTCTACATAAATACTTGCAGGAGTCTATACTCAGTTACATTACTGTATGTTCTTTATGATAGGAACAAAAATGATAATGCCATTTTGCTACGGAAGAACTGGTAGGTTAACTAACTTATGGTACATCAAACTATGGATACTCCGCAGCACTCAGAATAAGATAGATTTGGGCAGCACCTGTGGCTCAGCGCCGGCCCCATATACTGGAGGTGGTGGGCAAACCCGGCCCAGGCCAAAAACTGCAAAAAGAAAAAAAAAAAAAGAATGAGATAGATTTGTATTGTGGACATATAAGAATGTTTATGATATTCTTTCATTATTGTTTGGCCGGCCCAGGCTGGATTAGAAGCCACCAGCTCAGGTGTCTGTGGCTGGCGCCTTAGCCGCTTTAGCCACAGGCGCCGAGCCCACTCAATCATTTTTACATGCAGTGAAAAAGGTCTAAAAATATACACACCAAAAAGTGTTAACAATGGTTATGCCTGGAAAGTAAGAAGCACAGAAGCACAGAACTCTTTGAAAATTCTGGGCTCGGCGCCTATAACTCAACCCGCTAAGGCGCCCGCCTGTACACCTAAGGTGGCAGGTTCGAATCCCCAGCCCGGACCCGCCAAACAACAATGACGGCTGCAACCAAAAAATAGCCAGGCGTTGTGGCGGGCACCTGTGGTCCCAGCTACTTGGGAGGCGGAGGCAGGAGACTCGCTTGAGCCCAGGACTTGGAGGTTGCTGTGAGCTGTAATGCCACGGCACTCTGCTCAGGGGGACAGCTTGAGGCTCTGTCTCAAAAAAAAAAAAAAAAAAAAAGAAAATTCTGTATACATTTCTCATTGAAATTTTCCCCAAATATGATCTGCAAGAAGAACAGATCAAGAATACATATTTCAAGAGTACAATTTCTCTTGAAATTTTTAAGAGAATGCAGTTTGTACATTTCATTTCTTTCCTTCAGGGGAGGCAAGAAGTTAAAGGCCATTTAACTGTTTAGGGGGTAGGATAGGCAGGCAGAAAAGAGGGAGAACGAAAGAAGTTCTGCTCTTAGGAAAGTTCACTCCAATATTTCATTCTTATAAGAATGAGAATTGGCTCGGCGCCTGTAGCACAGTGATTACAGCGCCAGCCACATACACTGAGGCTGGTGGGTTCAAACCCGGCTTGGGCCAGCTAAACAACAACAACTGCAACAAAAAATAGCTGGGCATTGTGGCAGGCACCTGTGGTCCCAGATGCTTGGAAAGCTGAGGCAGGAGAATGCTTAAGCCAAGAGCTGGAGGTTGCTGTGAGCTGTGACGCCATGGCACTCTACCAAGGGTAACAAAGTGAGACTTTGTCTCAAAAAAAAAAAGAATGAGAATATGTGAGATCTGTACCCATAATAGATCCAACCCCGTTTCATGAGGGATAAATCTAGAACCCTTTTACAATCATGCAATCCCTCCTGAAGAGCTACAGAGGCCCAAATATGACAAGAGGCTGAAGAGTCAAGGCTAGAGATGATATATATAGTCCCAGGTTTCAACCTCCAATTGTCTTACCTCATCTTCAGGATCAGGATAAGGTCGCTTGCAAGTGCAATACAATCCAAAAAAGTTGGCATTGTACTTATTGCCAGAATTTACCTTTGCTTTGTCCTGAAATAGAATATTGATTTCAATATATAGTATGATCTAATTTTAACTATAATTTCATACATCATAAAATTTCTGAATTCAATAAATTCTTATACCTAGCACTCTGGGAATCTGAGGCAGGTGGATTGCTTGAGCTCAACAGTTCAAGACCAGCCAAGAGTAAGACCCAGTCTCTAAAACTAGCCAGGCATTGTGGCAGGCGCCTACAGTCCCAGCTACTTGGGAGGCTAAGTTAAGAAGATTGTTTGAGCCCAAGAGTTGGAAGTTGCTGTGAGCTGTGACACCACAGCATTCTACCAAGGGCAACAAAGTGAGACTCCGTCTCAAATAAATAAATAAATATAGAAATTTCTACAGTAAATATTTTCCCACTAGAAACTTGTCTTAATTTTCCAAGTGTGAAGAAAAAATACTCCTACTAAAGGAATACTTTTCCAGGATACAGGGAAATATTAAAATTTATTTTTTTGTACCTTCATTGTAGCAATTAGAGGAAATTAAATATACTCATTCAATAAAATGGAGAGAAGAATTAATCATAAATATTATCAGCTATGTGAGCTGATACTTGTAATTTCAAAGTTCTTCTTTATGCACAGTTGTGAGAACCACGACCCTCAAGAGGCAAAGAAACTGCCAAAACTAACCTTCAAAAGGAGAAAGATGATAGTTTTAGTAATTATGACTGAATAATGTAATATTCTTTTCTCTTTCATTTTTGTTATTTCACTGAAGAATATTGTTAAGCATAGTTTTTATTGGCCAAAAAGCAGTGAAAAAAATCCTGTTTTTGTAGCCCACATTCATTATTACCAAATTTTATTCAGTTTTGAATCATATCCCTTGCGTTAAAAGCCTCAGAGAATGAGCACACCACATAATTAAACCTGAATCACTTTAGAAAACACTTCCCCCAAAAAACTTTTCATATTACCTACAATCTCTAGTACATGCTCTGAAGAGGATATTTAGTTTTTTCAACAAAATAAAAACAGGAAATACTTATGTGCAAAGAATAAGAACTTCTTTTTTTGGAAAATAAAGGTATTTGCTTTTTACCCACTTGAGCGAACACCAACCTTGCTCTTTTAAATACATTTATAGTTATAGTGCTTACTTACAGGAAATAATTTGCATTCCAAATTTTTAAACTTGCTGTTTCCACAATCACAACGAAAATTTCTGAAAAAAGGAGGAAAAGCCATTTTTCTTTTTCTTTTAAATCTAATGAAGTATTCTTTAAACTCAAGGAATAGCTGCCTCTTCCTTTTTCAGCTCATTTCTAGAATCTAAAAAGTGGCTTTGGTTCCTATTGATGTATCCAATTTGGAATTTCTTCAACATATAACAATAAAATATTTTACAATTTTGGAAATTAATATGTATGAAGACCAATATCTACATTATACACGCAAACACACAAGTAAAATAATGGCAGAATATGAATAGTTTAAGTTTGTGCCATAATTACATTTTAAAAGGTCCTCGCCAGTTATATTATAGAAAATAATTACATTAAATTTCATGACTAGGTGTGGTAGCTTATGCCTATAATTCCAGCCAGCCCTTTCTGAAGACTGAGACAAGAAGATTGCTTGAGCCCAGGAATTCAAGACCAGCCTGGGCAACATAGTGAAACCCTGTCCCTACAAAAAATTTCAAAAATTAGCCAGGCACTGTGGCATGTGTCTATAGTTCTGGCTACTTGGGAGGCTGAGATAGGAGGATAGCTTGAGCCCAGGAGTCCAGGGCTACAGTGAACTATGATTATACTATAGCACTCCAGCCTGGGCAATAAAATGAGACCCCATCTCTTAAAAAAAAAAAAAAAATGTTCACTAGTACATAACTACTTTTTTTTTTATCACCCTTGGTAGAGTGCCGTGGTGTCACACAGCTCACAGCAACTCCCAGCCTTAGGTGATCCTCTTGCCTCTGCCTCCCTAGTAGCTGGGACTACAGGCACCTTCCACAATGCCCAGCTATTTCTGTTGTTGTTCCAGTTTGGTCAGGGCCAAGTTCGAACCCGCCACCCTCGGTATATGGAGCCGGCGCCCTACCCACTGAGCCACAGGCACCACCCTGTACATAACTACTTTGAATGAAAAAACAAGATTCAGTAAAAAATGCAGTTTCTAAACATTTAGAAAGCAGTCAGCAACAATCTCTATGCTTACCTTTTAGTGTAGAGCTCAAATAGTTTATGACTTCCATGACATTCATAACTGCAAGCTAGACAGATTCCTGCTGGTTCTTCTCCCTCTGGGGTGCAGGTACTACAGGCATATAGTGCTTGTCTCTTTACTGAGCCCTAAAAGACAGCCCCAAAATGGAAAAGAGAGAATGAATTAATGAAATAGCATAGCTACTTAATACCCACACTATGATCTGAAAAATAATTAAAATCAGATTATCTGTGGTCAAGATATTTCTCTAAAAATCATTAAGAATATTCAAAAGATATGAATAACAGAGTACTAAAACATTGCTGAATGTTTCATATCTATACTAGTACTTGTTTTCATAGTATTTTTTCTTAAAGTGACAGCAAGTTTAAATTTGTCAATCAGCTTTGAGTAAATTGGTCTGTTTAATCATTTTAACATATGAAAATGTAGAAGAATGTGTATAGATTTATTTAAGTAATACCACATTTTAATTTTGGAAAATGTTTGTAAATCAAGCATAAAGAAAATCAATACATGAAAAGAATTTTTAGGCTTGGGGCCTGTAGCACAGTGGTTACAGCACCAGCCACATACACTGAGGGTGGCGGGTTCAAACTCAGCCTGGGGCCAGCTAAACAACAATGATAATTATAACAAAAAAATAGCCGTTGTGGCAGATGCCTACTTGGGAGGCTGAGGCAAGACAGTCCCTTAAGCCCAAGAGTTGCTATGGGCTGTGTGATGCCACGGCACTCTACTGAGGACAACATAGTTGAGACTTTGTCTCAAAAAAAAAGAATTTTTAGGAGATGCATGTTGAAAGTATTCAGAGGTGCATTGTCACCATGCCTGCAACTTATTTGCAAATATGTAGTTAAAAATGTAATCTGCCGGCACAGTGGCTCCCATCTAAAATCCTCCCACTCTGGGAGGGCAAGGCAGGTGGACTACTTGAGCTCACAAATTCGAGAACAGCCTGAGCAAAAAGTGAGACCCTGACTCTACTAAAAATGGAATAGCCAAGGCAAAAAGATCGCTTGGGGGACAAAAAAAAGAGCCCAAGAGTTAAAGGTTGCTGTTAGTTATGACGCCACAGCACTCTACCCTGGGTGACAGCTTGAGACTCTGTCTCAAAAATAAATAAATAAACAAAAAAAATGTAATAAAAGCAAAATGTATTATACACATGGAGAGAAAAGAATGTGGCAAAATTTTAAAAAGTAAATACATATAAGACATATACAGGAGTTTATAATATTAGTCTTTCAACTTTCTGTAGATTTAAACTGCTTTAATAAAAAGTTGAAGGAAAAACAGGTAAAACTTTTAGAAAACTTGATAATGGTTACCTCCTATAGAAGGAGAGAGACACACAGGGAGGCTTTTGAGATACCAGTAAAGTTCTATTTCTTGATATTTTTTCCAAACCATATACATGATTTGTGCAAATTTCCTTACAATTTACTACAAAAATAGAAAATTTTAAAGAAGCCAGTTTTATAAAGTTAACTACATTTCAAAGATAGCTTACATATAGACAGGGCTACTATTATTTCTTGGCTTTTGTTTTTTGTTTTTTAAGAGAAGCAGGGAAAGGGTGTTTTAGTAGTGACCAAAGGTTTTAATACAAGTCATCATCTGGATCTCTGGATACCAGATATATTCAACAATCTAACCACTTTGTAGTGTAAACTAACTTGATCAACTATGACAGCTGGTATTATGATCTCAGTTTATACCATGTAATGAATGGGAAGTCTCTCCCCTCATCCCACCCAGTGTTTGGCTCCACTCCCCTGCCTAGGTAAACCTTCTCCCTCCTACTAATCACCCTTTGTTAGTTTTCTTCCTATCCATCCACCCTTCTCCATTTTTGTACTTAGAGATACAGCCTGAGTCACGAAACACTGCATAACACCCCCTCAAACCCTTGTTCACTATGTCTTCTAAATGCCAAACAGAACATTTTCTCCTCTCCTCCATTCCCTTGCCAGAGCCACCTGCTGTTCTTTTTTATTGAGAGAGTCTCACTTTGTCGCCCTTGATAGAGTGCTATGGCGTCACAGCTCACAGCAACCTCAAACTCTTGGGTTCAAGCGATCGTCTTGCCTCAGTTTTTCATTTTTAGTAGAGACGGGGGTCTTGCCCTATGCTCAGGCTGGTTGTAAGCTCAGGCAAGAGCTTCCTAGAGTGCTAGGATAACAGGTGTGAGCCACCGCGCTAGGCCCCACCTGCTTTTCTCTTTCCCGTTTGTTTCCAGGGAGGGGGGCAGCTTTCAGATAGACATGGTACTTGCTTCGTTTTGCAAAAAAAAAAAAGTAATAGCCAGCACTTGTCAAACTAAAACAGCAGAGGAACTAGTTATCAAGAAACCCACCCCACACGAGAATTTCAAATCCAGAGCTCTTTCTTTTGATTATTTGACTCTCCCATTCAGTCCCTAATAAATACATAGTCCTAGAATAGGAAAACTAGGGGCAAATATTTTTGGATTTGACAGGTCTCGGGAAGGTTTGTGAAAAGCAGCAGGGGCACCAAGAGACTGGAGAGGAAGGACAGAGTAGCTGCTCCAGGGCCAAATCTCGAAAAAGCTAAATAAAGAGTGAGGGAGAAGGGCTCCTGCCGGACACAAGGTGAAGAAGGGTCCCCAGAAGGCTGAAGATCAAAGGGAAGCCGGGCATGGGAAGACGAAGGCCACTACGACCGGCGGCCCCGGACCCCCACAGGGGGACGACTGCGGCAGGCGGGAACAGGGAAAGCCGGGCTGGGAACAAGAGGTTCTGCCGGAGCTGCGGAGAGGCCCGGCCGCGCGCCCACCTGCGCGTAGGAACATTTCTCCGAGTCGCTGCCCCCCAGGACGGCACACGCCTCATTCTCCAGCTCTTCATCCTCCTCAAGTACATCGACCAACGATACTACAGGCTCCAGCTCCGACTGCCGCCCAGTGGACCCCTCTGCTCCAGCCATCCTCAACTGTCACCCGGACCACGGTTCGGCCCCGGCGGAGGCGGGAAAAGCAGCCGCGAGGAGAGTAACCAGAGGAGGAGAGGCCTGAGTGCCATGAACCAATCGTAAAGAAGGAGAGCAAAGGAGAGGGGCGGAGCGACTTCCCACAAGCGGAAGTCACTCCTCTCCCGCCGGCGCCGGCGCCGGGCTGCCTTCCGCTTCCGGGTGGCGCTGCCTTCAGGCGGTCTCTTGAAGCTGAGCGGAAGCCATGGAGTTGTTGGGAGAGTACGTTGGGCAGGACGGGCAGCAGCAGCGGCTGAGAGTGTCCTGTGAGGCGCCAGGTGACGTCGACCCTTTCCGGGGCCTGTTGTCGGGCGTGGCACAGATGAGGGAGCTGGTAACCGAACTTTTCGCCCCCCTAGTACAGCAGGAATCGCAACACCGGCGGGCTACCGCTTCGGACCAACTCCTGGAGGGTGAGCTCTGAGGTGATGCTGGGAGGACGGGGCGGGGCGCTCAGCGGACATCTGCTGGGGAAGCCGGGTGTAGAGTCACAGACTTGGAGAAAGTGAGCCTGGGGAAGGAGAATTGCACCTAAAAATTGCGCTCACCATCGTGTTTGTCGGGGCGTTTTCACGACTCATATCACAAAACATGTGCTGTGCCTAATACTCTGTACCAGGCACTGTGCAGAGCTCTGAAAAAGAATTAGAATCCTGCCCTTGGGGAACACAAGAGGATTAAGCAGGCAGACGTTTGTTAAAAGAGTAAAACTGTGGTTTCTTTGGCTTTCTATAGATACTGCAAACCGAGAGAACCCCGGAAGGCTTCATAGAGGGAATAACTCTTGAGCTGGGTGTTGAAGGATGAAAAGGGGTTTGGGGCTGGGCTCACTCCTGTAATGCTAGCACTCTGGGAGGCTGAGTGGATCGCCTCAGCTGAGGAGTTCAAGACCAGCCCATCAAGAGCGAGACCCCGTCTCTACTAAAAATAGAAAAATAGCCGGCATAATGGTGAGCGCCTGTAGTCCCAGTTACTTGGGAGGCTGAGGCAAGATGATCGCTTGAACCCAAGAGTATGAGGTTGCTGTGAGCTGTGACGTCACAGCACTCTACCCTGAGCGATAGAGTGAGGCTCTGTCTCAAAAAAAAATTACAGACACGTTTGAAAGAGTGCTATTTGTTGCAGAATAGTACCAGGTTCCAAAAGTTGGAGCAGACTTCACTTTAACAAGTCTTAACTCTTAGGGACTCCTTTCTCATATCCCAGTTCTTTGAAAGTAGAAGCGTGAATTTGCATGGATTTCAAAAAATTGTTTTGGTGAAGGACACAAAAAAATTGTCTTGAATGCAAAAAAGAAAGTGGGCCTGAGAACTGGATATTGGAGTCAGGATTTACTGGATACTTAAACTCCTAAACAGAACAGTATTTTATTTTCCTTGCCATCTTGAGAATTAGATCTTGATAATGTGGGTGTTGACTATAATCAAAAAGAACAATAACAAGTATTGGCTAGAATGTGAAGAAATTGGAGACCTTGTACATTGCTGATGGAAATGTAAAATGGTGTGGCCACTTTGAAAAAGTTTAGTAGTTCCTCATAAAGGTTCTATATGACCTAGTAGTTCCTCTGCTGGTCCTCTCAATAGAACTGGAAACATATTCACATAATAACTTATACATGAAAGTTCATAGCAGCATTATTCAAAATAGCTAAAAAGTAGAAACACAAATGTCCTTCAGCTGATGCATGCATAAACAAAATGTGATATATCCATACAATGGAATATTATTTAGCAGTAAAAGACTGAAATTTTGATACAAGCTGCAACATGAATACACCATGCAAACATTATGCTAACTGAAAGTCAAACACAAAGGGGGTACATGTTGTATGATTTCACTTACATGAATGTCCAGAAGAGGCAAGTCCATAGAAGTAGAAAGTAGATTACTCAGCCAGACAGTACACACCTATAGTCCCAGCTGTTTAGGAGGTCTCAGTGGGAGGATTGTTTTAGCACAGAAATCCGAGTCCAGCCTGGGCAACAGAGCAAGACCCCATCTCTAAGAAAAAAAATTCTTTTAAAAAAGAAAGTCGGGGCTCGGCGCCTATAGCTCAACCGGCTAAGGCGCCAGCCACGTACACCTAAGGTGGCGGGTTCGAATCCCCAGCCCGGACCCGCCAAAACAACAATGATGGCTGCAACCAAAAAAAAAAAATAGCCGGGGCGTTGTGGCAGGCGCCTGTGGTCCCAGCTACTTGGGAGGCGGAGGCAGGAGACTCGCTTGAGCCCAGGAGTTGGAGGTTGCTGTGAGCTGTAATGCCACGGCACTCTGCCCAGGGGGACAGCTTGAGGCTCTGTCTCAAAAAAAAAAAAAAAAAAAGAAAGTCGGCCTTGGCTGGACACCTGTTTCTCAGTGGTTAGGGCTCCAGCCACATACACCCAGGCTGGCTGGTTCAAACCTGTCCCGGGCCTGCTAAACAACAAAGACAACTGCAGCAAAAAAATAACCAGGCACTGTAGCAGGCACCTGTAGTCCCAGCTACTCAGGAGTCTAAGGCAGGAGGATTGCTTAAGCCCAGGAGTTTGGGATTGCTGTGAGCTGTGATGCCACTGCACTCTACTGAGAATGACAAAGTGAGACTCTGCCTCCAAAAAAAAAAAAAAAAGGAGGAGCAGTGCCTGTGGATCAGTGAGTATGGTGCTGGCCCCATATACCAAGGGTGGTGGTTTCTAACCCAGTCCCAGCTAAACTGCAACAAAAAAATAGGCATTGTGGTGGGCACCTGTAGTCCCAACTACTCGGGAGGCTGAGGCAAGACAATCACCTAAGCCACAGAGCTGGAGGTTGCTGTGCGCTATGACACCACGACACTGCCTAGGGCAACAAAGTGAGACTCTGTCTCTTAAAAAAAAAAGGAAAGTATATTAATGGTCGTCAAGGAGGTTGACTACTAATGCATATAGCATTTCTTTTTGCAGTACTGAAAGTGTTCTAAAATTAGATAGTGGTAATAATTGCACAAGCTACTGGATGTACTAAAAACCACTAAACTGTATACTTTAAAAGTGTGAATTTTGTGGCAAATAAATTAATACCATCAAAAAAGAAAGTGATGAGAAAGAAAAGTTTTAAACATTGAAATTCCCAAAATCTGGCTCGGTGCCTGTGGCTCAAGCGGCTAGGGCACCAGCCACGTACACCTAAGGTGGCGGATTCAAATCCCCAGCCCGGGCCCGCCAAACAGCAATGATGGCTGCAACCAAAAAATGGCCAGGCATTGTGGCGAGCGCCTGTAGTCCCAGCTACTTGGGAGGCAGAGGCAGGAGACTTGCTTGAGCCCAGGAGTTGGAGGTTGCTCTGAGCTGTGAAGCCATGGCACTCTACCCAGGGGGATAGCTTGAGGCTCCGTCTCCAAAAAAAAAAGAAATTCCCAAAATCTTTTCTTTTTTTTTCTGTTTGGGTTTTTCTTTCTTTTTTTTTAAACAGAGTCTTACTCTATCACCCTGGAAAGGCTACCTTGACATCATAGCTCACAGCAACCTCCAACTCTTGGGCTCAAGTAACTCTCTGGCCTCAGCCTCCTGAGTAGCTGGGACTACAGGTGCCCACTACAACACCTGGCTAGTTTTTCTGTTTTTAGTAGAGACAGGGTCTCACTCTTGCTCAGACTGGTCTGAAACTCCTGCTCAGGTAATATACCCACCTGGGCCTCCCAGAGGGATAGGATCCACCACACCTAGCCTTCAAAATCTTTTAAATCTAAAATATGCATGGTTTCATTAATCTCTAGATTGAAATGCTCCCATTATCAGCCATTTTAGCTGCTTCTATTTCTTTCAACCACTGAACATATTGTCATACAACAAATATTTATTTTAAAGGTGGTGATGAAGATGATGCAGAAGATGAAAATAACATTGATAACAGACCTAACTCAGATGGACCATCTGCAAAACGGCCAAAACCACCATCTTAACAATAGCACTATGAAATTTTAAAGACTGCTACTACATGATAGTCATCACATACTGACGTTTAAGGACAACTGTGTTCTAATTTGGGACAGCTTTGTCAAAGAGAAAACTGTTTCTTCTGTTTCTAGCAGAAAGGTAATGTTTAGAAATGAAATTAGTTTTCTTGAATGAGATATGAATTCCAGGCCATGGAAATAAAATGGAATACTTATTAATGTGTAATATCCTCTAAGTTGGCAACTGAATTTTTATCCTTTTTCTCTTTTTTAAACAACTATTGAACTAAATTATATAGTGTCTAAGTCTTTTAACTTCTCTTATGAAGACATTCATAGGCAATAACATTTGAAAGAACTGACATAAACAAGGTGAAAATTGGGTATTAAATGTAAAAATGTCAGTTCTTTGTAACTAAAAGGAAAATAAAAGGTTAAAAATACTGAAAAGAGGGTGGCGCCTGTAGCTCAGTGAGTAGGGCTTTGGCCCCATATACCAAGGGTGGCGGGTTGAGCCTGGCCCAGACCACCTAAACAACAATGACAATTGCAACAAAAAAAATAGTTGTGCATTCTGGGAGGGGTGCCTGTGATCCCAGCTACTTGGGAGGCTAAGGCAAGAAATCACCTAAGACCAAGAGTTAGAGGTTGCTGTGACCTGTGACACTATGGCACTCTACCAAGGGTGATAAAGTAACACTCTGTCTAAAAATATATATATACTAAAAAGAAAGAGTCTTTGAGACACACCTAAGAAAACCTTGAATTCACACTCACATCCATTATACAGACATCTAGAGATGATGGCACTCAATGAATATGATTAATCCTCTGATTTATTTTGTGCTTTGAGAACCAGATGGGGTGTCTTTTATACTATGATATGGTATATACAAGATCTTAAGTAAACAATCCATGTTGACTGTAACTTAGATATTTCCTTTCCTCCCATAGCCACACTTTGATTTGCTTAACAAAGGACTTGAGTTCTTTTCAAAATACATATTCCCAAAATGTGTGTGTGTGTGTGTGTGTGTGTGTGTATGTACACATGTGCTTCTTTACTGCTTATCAGTGACATGAAGGCTTTTTTATTTACTGTGCATCTTCCCGATTAAAATGCAAAGAAATCAAGTAGCCTGTACCTAACGAAATACAAAATAGTCATAGAATTTTAGAGTTGGAAGTAACCTTACAAATTATACAATTTATTTCAGAGATAAATCTCAGGACAGGTTTTTGCCTCCAGAGTACAGAGCCAGCCATTAAAAGAGCTGGGTAACATAAATAGTCTCTCTATATTTTCTTAAGATGATAAAAGATTAGAGAAATCATTAACTTTTATGAATCACCTTTATTAAGTAATTAGAATGATAGATATCACCATAGTACTTTCCCAGTTATATATTCTGAAAACTGTAGCTTACAAAAGTACTATATACTGTTAAGAAATTAAATTTATTTTTTTATTTTTATTTTTTTGAGACAGAGTCTCACATTGTCGCCCTTGGTAGAGTGCTGTGGCATCATAGCTCACAGTAACCTCAGACTCTTAGGCACAAGCATTTCTCTTGTCTCAGGCTCTGAAACAAAAGTCTGTTCTGGCTCGGCTCCTGTGGCTCAAGCCACTAAGGCACCAGCCACATACTCCTGAGCTGGCAGG